GTACACAACCCATTACCAATGGCATTTTTCCTACCACTAGTTTGTAACATCCCCTAAAATAATTAGCTAAGAGGATAATGGTACAGAACTTCTACAGCTGTTAGCCATTTCTTCAGTAAAAAAAAAAGGAGGAAAATGGAAAAGAGTTTGTTTTCCTGCCAACAGAAACATGCAAAAGTTATTTTTTATGCTAACACGTAAAGTAGGTATATTCTCATTAAGATTGCTATGGTATTTTGCATATTTTAACATAAATTGTTGGGGAAAATATGCACTTTCTCATATAAAGGAGCACTTGGAATAAATTTTTCTAATGTTTCCCATAGCATCAGTAGCTATCATAACAAAATTTAGATCAAGTGTTTGTTAATGAATTTCTAAAGATAAATAAAAAGTACTTTGAGACCTCATGCTACAGATTGTTTCTAATGCATTGTAACACATTCACAGTCTACCAACCCTTTTCAGACTGCTAACTTTCTATGCTATTTTCCAGTTGTTTAATTGCAAACCCGTCATTTGATATAATAATATACATGAAACTCAGCTTAGATTGCAGCTAGTCATGCATGAGATGAGTGAGATTGCTACTTTTCTCCAGCTACCAGAAAAAAAACAAATCTATGTCCTTGCATTGCTGATGATGGGCCCTAAAGTATCTACAGATTCAGAGGAATAAAGTGGAGGTGAAGGGATGTTTCTGTTTTTCCTGAACACATAACCAGTCATGTTTGCCAGCTTGGGTGTGTATAAACTGAAGACAAGCTAAAGGGCTAAGCTCTTTCTATGAAGTGATATTCTGGGCATCTGTAGGTGAAAACCAGAGATTTAAAACTTTGAGTCTCAGAAAGTACTAGAAAGGTTATCAGATTAAGTAAATTAAATATGTGGGATTTGGGGATGCTTAGTTTTCTTGTGGAGTACATACTGTCTGATTCTTCTTCTTCAGTATGTACCACTCCATTATTTCCTACCTTGGGTGCTATTTTTCTCTTGAGCAGCAATCAAGGGATTCTTGTTGAGCAGGCTGACAGATGTTACTAATTTGGGGAGTTTTGTTAAATTCTTTAAAGCTCCTATTCCCACAGTCATGAGGTGATTATACTAGATTTTCAGCTTCCAAGGAAGCTGGAGGAGTAAGTCTTGCCTCTTTCTCAATCTGATTTGACAGGGACATGGTTTGACATGCCATGGCACGGCAGTAGCAGTCAGGGCCCCTCTTCTCATGAGGCCATCACAAAGCCATTTCACTCTTCAGCATGGCAGGCTCTATAAAACCTGGCTGCTTCTGAGTAACTAAGGAAAGCACAGCCAGCAGCAGCTAGCATGGTTTAAAAGATGTAAAACTGATAAGCATTATAGTGACTAGCAACAAAACTTTTACTGAGGCATTTTACCAGCCTTAGGCTAGATAACAATTCTGCACACAGCTGCTTGCATACACACCTTACAAGTACCATTGCAGGGCTTCCTCCCTGCCCTGGCAGACTTCAAGGAAAGTGTGGAAAGCGGAAAGTGTGCAGGCACTACAGGACATGATTAGTTGGTCACATATTCTGCAGAAAGCATAACATGGAGCAATCACTTGCCATAGCAACCTTAACGTTTGGAGAATCAACTGCAGAAACAAACTGATTCTAATTACTGGAGCAAATGTAATTAGCAAGTAAGCTATATCTAAACAGTGTAAGAGAAAAGGAAGCTTTTTTAAAAGGGTCTTTTGTTTCTTCAACTGAGAGCTCAATGGGCATTATTATTACTCAGTATGTCCCCAAGGCGAGTTCTGTAGCAACTGAAGAGAAGGGGCAAAGCGTTGCTAGCTAGTTTTCTGATCCCAAATGTTGCCAATGTTACATAGTCACCAGAAATAAAATGTGTCTGGTCTAATGCAAGCTTGAACCTGTGAAACGTCCCTATGTGAGTTACTCACAGTAGGCTCGCTATGTAAGTACCAGAGAACATCTTTAGCGGGAAACGCAGCTCATTCTCGGGCAGAGCAGGATTTTTCCGTGTGGAGGAGGCGGAGGTGCCTCGCCGCGGCCGGAGCCGGCCGATCCGAGGCGCGGGGCCGCTCGCTGCCCGCCCTCCCCTCAGCGCACGGGCCGCGCGCGGGGCGCCCCCTGCTGGGCACGCGGCCGAACCACAGCCTCGGGCCCTCCCTCACGGATCCGCGCGCTCCCCGCGCCGGGCACAACTTCCACAAAATTACGCAACTCGTGCCCCCAAGTTATCATTTAGCCTGCCAAACCTTGCTCCTGAAGGGGAGAGGCAGTATATTTTTTCTCTCCCCAAAAGATACGGGTTTAAATTAGGGCTCTCCATTTCCTCTGTGTGTGGGGGTATTTTATAAGAAGAGAATAAGAGTGGTGGTGGTTTCCAACAGAGGACAGAACCTCAGTAGGGCTGTGGGAAGAAGGGCCGAGCCGCTGCCTTCAGGGAGAGCCTGAGTGTAGACAAAGCCAGGAATTCTCTTTTCAGAGTTCCTTTATACTGAGGGTACTAACTGCTTTTAAGCACCTGGTTTGGCAAAGCCTGGGCACCAGACTTTAGGAGTCTGGCCTTACTCTTTGGATTTTAATATTCCTTTGTAAAATAAAAACAGTTTTTTAAAAAGCCCTTCTCTGGCTTTCAGGGACACTTGTAATATAAACAGGTGGATCAGAGATCCTTGACATCAGGTATGGTGGCAATGTTCTGCAAGTATTTTAAAATTTCATCCTACATCCTTGTATCCCAATGATCTCATGCTCTTGGCCTTTGAGAATGTCTCTTTACAAAGAGAAAGAAGAGTATGAAAAGGAAAATGTCAATCTCCCCCCAAAAAACCCTTTAGCCTCTTACATGAAATACAGAATAATTATTGCAGTGCTGGTCTAACCATTAGTGGAAATTGTTAAGCTTCTTATAATAAAAGCCTAAGAGGATGAGAATTATGTAATGCCCAATTCCAAAAGTATTTTGTTCTCTGACATCTCTTGTCATGTTTCTGATAAAGGCTGAGCCATTGGACAAATTCTTCAGAGACTACTTTGGTGTAGGTACCTTCATAGGTGCCAAAGAACTTTTTTTTTTTTTTCTGGCTAATTTACCCTAAAAAAAAAAATGTCATTTCCCTGTGGTTCAGATGGCTATAGAATGCAAGAAAAAAATTGGCATGTTAGGAGAATAAACAATAGCGTTCTCCTTTCCAGAAATTGTGTTCCCTGCAGAATTAAACCACGGGCTGGACACCAAGTCCTAGTTTGGACCTCTTGCCAATTTGTCTCTTTTACTGAAATAAAAGGAAGTGGGACTACTGACAGGGACAATCCAAACTGTGAGGCTGGGAGGAGACACAGCTGGGACAGGTGACCCAAACTGACCAAAGGTATATTCTGTACCATGACATCAAGCTCTGTACATAAAGTGGGGAGGAGGAGAAAGGGGGGATGTTCAGAGTGATGGCATTTGCCATCCCAAGTCACCATTAGGTGTGATAGGGCTCTGCTCTCCTGAAGATGGTGGAATACCTGCCTGCCTATAGGAAGCAGTTACTTAATTCCTTGTTTTGCTTTGCTTGTGTGCATGGCTTTTGCTTTCCCTATTAAACTGTCTTTATCTTAACCCAAGAGTTTTCCAGCTTTTGTCCTTACAATTCCTTTCCCCATCCCACTGACTGGGAAATGAGCAAGCAGCTGTGGGGGACTTGGTCAGGCCTCCTTCCTGCCCACCTCACACCAGCAGCCCACAGGAAACCAAGGGAGGATTACCTGGCTCCCACACTAGCAAGAATCATATGAATTTACAGGTTGGAAGGGATCTTAATGATCATCTAATCCCAACCTCTCCTGCAATGAGTGGGGGCACCCTCCACTAGATCAGGCTGCTCAAGGCCTCACCCAGCCTGACCTTGAACACTGCCAGGGCTGGGGTATCCACAGCCTTCCTGGGCAACCTGTTCCAGTATCTCACCACCCTCACAGTAAAGAATTTCTTCCTAATACCTAACTTAAATTTACCCTCTTTCAGTTTGTCCTGTCACTAAAGTTCCTCTCTGGCTTCCCTGTAGAACCCCTTTGCATACTGGAAGGTTGCCATGAGGGCTCCATGCAACCTCTTTCTTCTCCAGGCTCAACATTCGCAACTGTTACCCTGTCTTCATAAAGAAGGTGCTCCAGTCCTCTTATCAACTTCATGGCCCCTCTCTGGACTTGCCCCAACAGTTCCATGTCTTCCTTTTGCTGGTAGAGCCTGTGACACAGGTAGGGTCTCACAAGAGGAGAGGGGAACAATCAGTTCTCTGCCCACACTGCTTTTGAGGCAGCCCAGGGTATGGCTGGCTTTCTGGGCTGCAGACACACTCTGCTGGCCCATGTTGAGTTTTTCATCAACCATGACCCCCCAAGTCTTTCTCTGCAGGGCTGTTCTCAATGAAGTCTCCACTCAGCCTGTAGGTGTGTCTGGGATTGCCCCGAATAGGTGCAGGACCTTGCATTTGGCCTTGTTGAACTTCGTGAGATTCACATGGGACTTCTCTCAAGCCTATCCATATCCCTCTAGATGGCATCATTTCGATGGCACCACACAGCTTGGTATCATCAGCTATTTTGATGAGAGCAAACTCAGTCCCACTATCCATGTCGCCTATGAAGATGAACAGAGTTGCCCCCAACACCAGGCCCTGGAAGGACATCACTAGTCACTGATCTCCACGTGGAGAAAGACCGCCTGACCTCAGCTCTTTGCCTGCGGCCACTGAGAGACCAGTTGCTGTACCAGGCGCTGAAGCCGGGCTCGGCTGCAGGGATGAACCTTCCCGCCCCACGCCACACCAACCCCCCGCCCCGGCCGCGCCTCCCGGCGTCCCTGCGGGCGGTGCCATGTGCCGCGGAGGGGGCGCCACAGCCCCCCCGCGCGGCTGGTTCCTTGATACGGCCCTCTTCCACCCTCTGGCCGCCTCCTGCCCCCAGCTCTTGCGCGCTCCCCGCGCTCGCGGCCGGCCCCGCCCCCGGGCTGTGCGCCTGCGCGGCGGCCCGTACGTCAGCGTCGCGCGCCGGCCGTGCGGCGCCCCGCGGAGAGAGCCGGCCGCCATGACCTCCGCGCTGGAGAACTACATCAACCGTATCCTCCGCCGCGGGCCCCGTGCGCCACAGCGCGGCTCTGCTGCTGTGCCCGACACTGTGCGCGGTGCCGGCTTCTCTCACGGGAGGTTGGCCTGGCAGGCCGGAGGTTCCGCGGAGAACGGGGTCCCCTACAGCAGCCGGTGCTGCCGGGCTGAGCTATGCCCGTGAGGAGCGGGGGTCGCGGTGGGCCTGCTCCCTTAAAGGGCTGTTAGCGTGCGCTTAGATAACAGCTGGGCAGCGCTTGCTCAAAACCTGCCAGCTGGGGGTCTTGCAGCGCTTTTGGTGGTAGTTTTAATGTGCTTCTTGTAACCCGTGGACATTTTCAGTTTTATTCACTAACAGTAAGCTAGTAACCCGGAATTAGTCAAGATGATGAATATGTGATCATCGAATGGGGATAGTCTGATCTTCAGGAAGAAGGGATGCAGAATACTAGCCTCGAGATCACCACTGCGGAGCTTTTTAAGGATTTTTAAAGTTTTTTAAGGCCTTAAAGTGTTTATGAAACGGTTGTTTCCATTTTGAGGCAGTGTAGTTAGTAATGGGAAGAGAGGTGAACTGAAATCTGTATTCTGTTTTTAAGGCTTTTTTCATGTTTGTGTATGACTGTCGTTGGTTGGGGGAAGAGAGACTTTCAAGGAGATGTTAATGAAAAATACTGTATTTCACATGTTATTGTCAACCATGCTGCTTTAAAAAAAGTGCTGATAGGCTTTTGGGCCTCTGAATGGCCCATAAAACCTGTATTCCATATGAATGCTTCAAAAAATGTTAATGGTTCTATTCCAGATATGACTAAATGTTTCCTTAATGAAATATCAGGTACTGTTGCAGTAATTACTTCTGATGGAAGAATGATTGTGGTAAGACTTTTTTTTTTTAACATTTTATTTTCCCCCATAAAGACTTCCCATCGTGGCAATAAAGAAGCTCTGTTAGGATAGTCTCACATATTCACACAACCAAACTATATAGTATAGAATAATTGCCATAAAGCTTAAAAAAATAATTTTATGAACACTTACTGTTTCTTGCATGTCATGTCAGCTTTTTTCCATTGATAAATTTGTGTCTGCAGATGCTCTGGCCTTTTTATCAAATGGCTTTTCCTGTGGGAATGGACAAAAAATGCATTCCTCTTCTGTTCAGTAATTTAGTTTCTATCTGAAATGTCCACTTTGTTCTGTATGCTCTTCAACTTTCCTGCTAAAACCATTTCTTCCCTATGGCTGTAGAAAAACATCAGCTGGAGAAGTGTTGTGGGCTTCTGTTTGTACCTGAAAACATGAGGATAGGCCAACTTAATACATTAGACTATATAATATTTTTGGGTTTATTGCTTCTGTGTTCTGGGCCTTTTTTTCCTTGCATTGCTTCCCCCTATCTTTTATTCTTTTGTGTTTTGAGTGTAACTTAGCAGTATGATTGTTGCAGCAGCATTGTATCTTTCTGTCTGCACTTAGCTTTGTGCAGCCTCTGGAACGAGAGAGCAGAAATCTGTTGGCTTCACCAAATCTGCTTGGCTGAAGTCAGTCTGGTGAACTTTGTGTGTGTGCTACAAGGTGCTTCTTATCAATAAAGATTTGAATGGAGTTGGTGTATAGGACTCATTGTTAGATGATACAAATGCAGGTTATGGCTGTTTGAAGGGCTGTTTTATGTGAGTTTGGGTTTCTTAATCAATTAGTGATGGCAAATTTATGTTAATTTTCCAGACATGTACTTAAGTGCCACAAAATACTGTGTTTTTAAATTTATTTTTTATATAATTTAGTAAACACAAGGTAATCTTCAAAGAGATACCACTTTAAATTGCTTGTTAGGAATGGTTTCAATATTGTTGACCACAAGAATCCAACTTTTCTGTTCTTTGTTTATTTAATATTTTTTTTAATTTCTGGAAACATCCATACAAAAAAACAGTGTAGAAATAGTAAAATTGGTTGTCTAGAGAAACATCATTGATAAAATGAAAATTTATTTTTTTAATAATAAAGCTTAAGCTTATGGTCTTTTAGCATGAACACACAGTAACACATGGGTGCTTTTCTTAAATTGGTTATTGCTTTTAAAATTTCATTCTTTAGCTTTTTTGTTTAAGCCCAAGAGTAAAACCTGAATAGAACATCTGTTCTCCAGTACCTTTATTTTGCCACTCTGTTTCTGATGTCCTTGACAGCAGAGAGGCAGTTTTTAAGGGCAATGGCAGTGTGCTTTTTTGTGGTTTTTTTTCAGGGAACACTCAAAGGTTTTGACCAGACCATAAACTTGATTTTGGATGAAAGCCATGAACGAGTATTCAGTTCTTCACAAGGAGTTGAGCAAGTGGTGCTGGGCTTGTACATTGTGAGAGGTGATAACGTGTGAGTATGGCATGCTCTTGTTTCAATCCTTCCATGCAGACTTTGTGTTTGTGTATATTTATATATCCATAATCTGTATGAATTGTGATTGACAATACTTTCAGTGCCACCCACAAAGATGCAAGGTGTGCAGGGCAAAGCTGAAGGTACTGAAAGGATGCATGGAGGTGACACTTGGGGACATGGCTTAGTGGTGGACTTGGCAGTGTTAGGGCAATGGTTGGACCTGATCTTTCCTAACACACAGCTGTGATTCTGTATTAAATAGCAAATGTCTACACTTCTTTTACAGTAGTGATTGCCTTGCAGTGTTGAGATTGAAGATGATCTCAGGGCTGGAGCATCTCCCCTATGAGGACAGGCTGGGAGATGATGAAGGAAAAGACAAAATAATCACTAAAAAACGAGCTAGAACTTGTGTCTGCAAAAAGTCAACAATCTGGTATACAGAGTTGACTTGCAACAGTTTTGTTTTTGTTTTTTTTACTTTAGAGCAGGTGTTCACAGAGAGCACTTTATAATCTGGAAGATCCTTGAAGGTTCTGACTTGGCAGTGTAGCAAATGTTGAAGCCAATGTAGTGATGTGTCAAGTGTATGAGTTGGTGGTTGATGTAAAATTCCTTTACAAAATGAAGGTGAAAGCTCAGTGAGTGCAGAGGGAAGTAGCTGGTGTGCCAAACCCATGGGAGGGTTACAGGAGAAGTGGAAGAAGGCCTGGTAAGTGGGCCAGCTAGGAAGATTACTTTTGCAGCAGCATTGTGAAACCAATGGCAAAAGTAAGATTATTTTTTTATCACAGCTGGAAAAAGAGTATGACCAACACATGAGCCTGGATAGGAATTTTCATCTTCTGATTCTAATGGATACTTCTGTACAACAAAATGCCAAGGCTTAAATTGATATCTAGGTGCCTTTATCTAATATCATTGAGAAATTGGATCATTCTGAATGCTTTCATCACTTTGGACTTAAAATTTTAAGAAAAACTAATTGGACACATTGTATGCCACTCTACCAGTAGCTTTTCATTCAGATACTAAAAATGTGTCTAAACCAGCAGATAATGGTTTATTACTTTACTGTGTGATCATACAATTGAAATGTATGATGAAAGACATCATCATACAACCACATTACTGAGATATATTCAGAATATGCTTCTGTGATATAGAATTGTTTCTGCAGTCTTAACAAATTCAAACATATTTAATACAAGTAATAATTACGTATTCATGCAACTCTTCAACATGCTGAAATTCAGTGTCCTTATAGGAAGAAGTAAAAAGAATCAACAGCTAAATAACAGTAACTTCAAATTAGGGGACTCTCATGAAAGAGGGAAGCTGTTGAAAAATGAAAGGAAAGAAAGAGTACATGGTACAAAGTACTTTGAGCATTCCAGTGTGCATCACTAGAGGCTTTCATGGAATAAACAGCATCAATCAGAAGTTGGTGTAGTTCAACAGTATGTAGGGCTTGTTAGAAGATAAAATACAGCTTCTGTTTTAAAACTGTGTGATTTGATTTCTACAATAATAACCTGATTTTTTTTTTTTTTTAATTGCAGTGCTGTGATTGGTGAAATTGATGAAGAGACAGATTCTGCTCTTGACTTGGGGAATATTCGAGCAGAACCTTTAAACTCAGTTGTGCACTGAAAAGATAAAAATGCACTGGGACTTTGTAAATCTTTGGTTGTACAGACCTATTTAGCAATGTGGACAGTTTTTACAAATTGTGTTTAATTTGTTTAGTCACCAGTTTTTTTATTATGAACATGTTGTAGTTTTGCATGTAAATTAAAGTTTCTACATTTTGCTAAAGATACTTTCATTGAATTTCTTTTGAATTTCAGGCTGCATAATTTCACTGGGAAATGCAATCAGTATCAGTGATGGTCCTGGTACTGTGTATATATACCTTGTTCTTGAAATAAGATCTCATTCCTAAAGGTAAACCAAGGTTTTTTTCAAGTTAACCCAGGATTATTTGAAGGTAGATGTGTGCCAGTCAGTTTAACCATCTCTAAATGTAGTTGTGGCTGTCTGTAGAAAACTGTTCTTTGTAATTTTTTTTGTCTCTGTGTGTAGTGCAGAAAGGAAGAATGTTAAAAGCTTTCACAGTCTAATTAATGGCATATGCACATAGTACTTTTTTTTTTTTTGTAGTGTCAGACCTTGACTCCACTGGAGGTGCAGGAGTTTGTAATGCCTTAATCCTTGGAGACAAATGGGAGAAACAGACTTTTGAGCAGGAACAAAAAACCCAAATGCATGATTTATTTGAAGCCCATTAAATTCCAGACCAACTAATTCTCTATCTTTACCTTTCAGCAGCTGTTGTGTTGCTCAAAATTTGGGTGAGACCTACAGAGGAGAATTGTGTGTTTGCTAAGGTGTAACCATTGTCTCTAGAATGTAGTTTAGAAGACACAGAAGTACTTTTGGTAGGAAAATTACTTATTTTGAAAGAAATTTGGCTTAATATTGGATCTAAGGATCCCAAACAATGGTCACATACAGACCTCTTATACCAAGCTGAGTGGGACAAGCAGTGTGCAGCATAGAGTGTTTGATGCCATATCAGCATGAAGTCTGTACTCTTGAACAAAGCTCTTGTTATTCCCCAGTGTCCCACAGGTCCAGTATTTTTCCCCTGTATATAAATGTGCTGTCAAAACAAACAAAAAGGAATTTTAATGTGCATGTTAGGGGTTTTTATACTAATTTTACTATTAAATGGGATATTTTTCATTGCAAGTTCACTGTTTGGAAACCAAATACATTGAAGATACTTGTTTTCCATAAAATGTCTCTCAAGTCTTGTAGCTTCCACCTTGTTTTCTAAGATTGTTCTTGGTGGAGCATGTGAAGCCCAGCAAACCTTTTTTTGCCTTTATCCATCTTGTGATCTAGTACTGTGTTGTGTTCTGTCCACATTTCTTCTTGCAACTGCTGAGCAAACATTGAAAAAGTCAAATAATGTTTTTTCCTGTGATTACCAGAAGTCAGTACTAATTCTTGCCATAATTGATTATGTCGAGAGAATCAGTTTCATTAAACAGTCAAGAAAAAAGCCTTTTTGCTACTGAAATGCTGATACCTTCACAAGAGAAAAAAAAGTATAGGAACTGAATTGTATTGATAAAGAAAAAGCAGGTTATTAAATTAGGTATTTTAGAGCTCAGCAAAAAGTGCAGAGGCAAAGAGTGGAGTCAGGATGCACTAATGCACTACTTATTGTTGGATGTATTAGGAGAGTTGTAGTTGAAACACATGGATTGAATACTTGTGGTAGCACTGGAAAAACTATGGAAATATGTTGTCTTATAGCTGAGAAATTATGTTTGAAGATTAGTTATGGAATGTTAATGCATTATGGAGACCATTTACCTCAAACACATCATTTGCAATGGTGAAGGGATCAAAGCCAGGAGACCTAGTCAGAAGGTATTTATTAAAATCAAATGCAGGACTTGATAATTCTTTAAAAATTTTAAGATGCAATTAAAGATTTGTGAACTTTCAGGGACTCTAAGCTATAGTGGCTAACTAGGTACCTGTAAGTATAGAGAAATCACTCAGTAAAACAGTATTTAATGCATCAAGTTGAATTATAACCAGTCTGAAAGAGTATTTTCATTGAATCAAGACTGTAGCACAGTAGGTTAAAAACAGACCACCAATGAGAGTAATTGATGTCATTGTTTTCATAAATGAAAAAAGATGGGAAAAATCAATGCAATTGAAACCACAAAATGGCCATAGACTGATGGCCTAGTAGTAGTGATTCTGAAGAGAGCCAGAGAGTGTTAGTCCCCAGAGGAAGAGTGGGGTGGAAGCTCAGCAGAGGTAAAGCCTGTGTATGTGTCTTCACACTAGGGGAACTCTGCAGTCAGTGTTGCAAGCACATTGAAGGTAGTAAAAAGGTACAACAGAGCAAATAAAGCAGCTGAATTTTTGAGAGCAAAACCCAGATGCTGAAGAGGTGTGAAAGGACTGGATGGAATGAGAGAAGAGCACCACAGGTTCTCCTTCTGTGTTGAGAAGGGGTATGTTTGCTGTGTGCAGCTGGCTGGGTTGAAGGTTCTCCTGTTTAACAGTGATTGCAGAGATGCAGCAAAGCACATTTCTCCTGGGAGATAAGTAGTATTGTCCGCAAAAAGCCTTTGCTTTATTCTTCCTGGAGAGAAAAGTACTCTCAACAAAGAAAGAGTAACACTCTGGAACTGAAGGTGCTCCCTAAGAGTTCTGACTGCTGGTGCCTTATGGCTGTCAGCTGGTTGCATGGGGTACATGAAGAGCGCTGCTGAGATCATGAATACTTTCTTCTGAAACTGTCTCCCTGCAGTGAACCTAGATTAAATATTCAGTAAATAACAAGGATATTCAATAAAATCTAGTGAGTCCTTGCAGAGTAATAAACATGCTATACAAAAATGAGAAGGGCAGAAAAAGGTGATACTAAGGCCAAAAGGAAGTAATGCTGAATTGGAGGTAATTGTCATATGCCATTAAATTTCCTGCATTGTCATAGGTTGGTCACTTCCTCCTTTTGTTTGGCTAATCGAGATCTTGGAGTGAAAGGACAACTCTTGGCTAGTGGAAAAATCTTCCAGTGAAATGAATGAGCTGGTTTATGAGGAGATTAAATAAATTAACTTGGTGTGCATGAAGAAACAGAGAAACTACCTTCTGTCGTCCAAGGGCAATTTCTCTAACTGCAATCCACATCAAAGGGCTTCAAATATTGCATGGCCTACAAGTGGGTTACTGGCTGTACTGGATTGAACACGGATACTGGTTTGAGGTTGTAATCCCACAGTGGACAATTTCTGTACAACTTGACCTTTCCTATCAACTATAGCCTGTTGTCCTTAGCCCTGGAGGTAGTGTTTATTCTCCATTTTATAAGTAAACAGCTGAGGTACACATCAAACACTCAGTGCTAGAACTGAAGATAAAGTGCAGGTTGACGGTATTTATCTCATAGCCACTACTACTTTTGTAGCAGATGCACCAAATCTGTGTGCCTGAGTAGGTGTTTTGTACCCATGGCAACATAATTCCACCAATTAGCCTCTGCTGCACTCTGCTAAGAATTTTATTCTGCAGATGGACATAGAAATTATCCTTAAATACCAGAGTTGTATTCTCCATGCATTGGCATGAAAGGATTTAATTTATTCCATTGTTAACGTGAGAAATAGTAAGTCATCTGCTGTTGCTCCTTTGGGAATTCAATTACCATGACCACAACAGCACTTCTCAAGGAGAAGCCTCAGTTGAAGAGACTTGGAAACTGTGAATGTCAGTTATGCCAGTTAGAACACCAAGTTTGCTAGTTATATTTGGTCTATGATACATTTGTGGCACCAGTGTATGCTACTCTACTAATTTTTACTAATGAATTCTTATTTCTACTTTCCACTTGATGGAACTGCAGCTTATTGATAAGAATAATGAAAATAATTTAGTGGATTAAGTGGCACTTGAAGTAGCCAGAAAAACTGTGTCCTATCAATCAGTTTGAATTTCTCTGTTGCTTAAATAATAAGGCATTATAACTTCAAGTATCAGGTATTTATGGACAAATAACTATGAAACCCAGATGTGCCAGAAGTTCAGGATTGTTGCGGTGAGGGAGGGAAAGCTTGTACAACACCTAGGTTAACAATACATGACAGAAGATAGTAAAGAGCCAGGTATTTGTTCTGGAAATCCTGTTCCTGATGGCCTCTCTCAGAGTGCTATATTTTGCCTTAGGGTCCTTTTCAGGGGCCTTTTTTTTCTGTAATTTTTACAGTAGTGGCAGAAATGCTGACATTTCTTACATCAGTAGCATTGTCCCTGAAGGAAATAAAAGCTGTGCTGACGCAGGCGAAAACCAAAGCTGAAAACGCAATAGCATTCAGACTTTTGCCAAAACCTGCTTACTGCCATAAAAGCAGGACTTATCTACTTGTTAATGTTCCTTCCTGGAGCATTGCAGCACGTTCCAGGAGCTCTGGAACTTGCTTGGAACAATGTGCTGCTGCCGGTCAGCCTTACATCAGTAACAGTGCCACAGGATGCCAAAAATTTCACTCAGTGCTCAACTTCTTTCTGGCTCCTTGCACTTTTAGATGAAAGGCTTTCATTGCTTTAGAGAGGACAAGCACACGTGCATGTGCTGCTTTTGTCTGCTAAAACCTCTTTAATGGCTTTCCTGCCATACTGTTTTATACTCTAGGTTTATTTTATCTGTAGTGTCGAATCCAGTGATGATTACAGTGCATAGAAATGGGAGTGGAAATTATTCAGTGGAGAAATTGAAGAAGTTGGACCTGAAGTACTCTAATGCATAAAAAATAGAAATAACTAGGATGGAAACCTGTTGAATGTGAACAGTGTTGGGCTTTACAGCAGTGGTCATTGTAGTGAAATTCTCTTAAACACAGGTACAGTTATTGTATCTGTATAAATCATTCATCTTATAAGAAATACTGAGAAAACATTTTCTACTCAGAAGTATTTTAAGGCACTGGAATTTTATATGGAAGCTTCCTATCCTAAAATGGTACTTTTTAGTTATGGTTATTGCTTTTTATTTTTGTGCTTAAATTTTTGGTAATTCTCACTTGTGTAATTTTCAGACTTCAACTCTGTTGGTGATGCAGATGGAAACCTGTATGCACATAAATGCTGTCACGTTTCTGCAAATTGGCCAGAGCTGCAGGGGGTGTATGGCTGGGATCTGCAGCATTCACACTGATGAACATGTGTGATGTAGAGACCTTGGATACAGGGGACAGGCTGTCAAGCTTGTATTCAAAGCAGCATGCATGCAAAAGACCAAGAATAAACATGCAGCATTAACCCCCCCAAGCTATCTATAAAAGTTTCAAATTTGGTTTGTAGCGTTTCCAGTTAATAAAACCATTTCTTGCCAAGTGCCACGTAAATACCGCCTCATCTGTACCATTTCATGCATACAGACCTAATGTACAGTTCTGTTTTGCACTGAGTTACAAGACTGAACAGAAGCCAAGGCAGGAAGTGATTATGGCTAAGGAGCTGATGCTGATTGAAAATGTGTGATGCTGTGGAGGAAACATCAGACAATAGAACCTCAGGCAGTTTGGAAAGAGATTTAAAAACCAGCACTTTAGGATGTAAACAGGCAATAGGACTGAGGCCAGCCTTTCTCCTAACAATCAGATCATTAGCAGGAGCGTGCAGAATGATTTCCATGATTAAAGTGCAAGTGCAAAATCCATGAAGGCGTGTGCTCATCAATGCTGAACAGAAGCAGCCTTCTTGCTTTTTGCTGTGTTTCTTCTACAGGTTATCCTAACTCATCCTGGATACAAGAGTCAGACGTGAGGTTTAAATCTAGGAAGGGCAAATGGTCAAGGACTTGGAAAAGAAAGGTTTAAGATTATTTTGTGTAACTGTAGTAAGGTAGGATCCCTCTGGAATTGTGCTTCTGATTTTCAAGACAGCTTCTGTGAAAAGTCATCAGCTCACATTCAGTTAAAATTGTCAGGATCCAAGTGGAAAGAGTCTCTGATAAGAATGGAACAGAACAATTGTTATAATTTAAGTGAAGATCATTATGTGGCTGAATGGGACAGCTTCCTGATTTGTCTAGAGACTAGGTTAACTTCTTGCATTATTTATAATAGCCATGAAGTAATTTTGAGTTTTATGCTGCAACTTCTGATTTCACCATTTTACAAAAGTCCAGCCAATGCAGAAAGGAGTAAGAAAAGCAAACAATATGTTTGTATTAATTTCATTGATGGATAAGACATGTACAGTGTTTTATAACTACACTGTACGTGTCAATAGTTTTGAGTTTGGTTCTAATTATGCAATTTCTGAGTTTCAATGGCAAAGTGCAGATGGCAGCAAAATGGCCCTTAGCTAAAAGAGAATTACCAGGCTACCCTACTGTTAATGCCACTCTTCAACACACAGGAATGCCTGAGCAATGCCCTGCATTGTCTTGGGTCTTTAAGCAGCAGAGCATTAGTTATGAAAGTACTGAAAAGACTGAAGTTCCCATGCTCTCTGCCATGGGCCACCTG